TTCCTTCCTTCCTTCCTTTCCTTCCTTCCTTCCTTCCTTCCTTCCTTCCTTCCGTCCTTCCTTCTTTCTTTCTTTCTTTCTTTCTTTCTTTCTTTCTTTCTTTCTTTCTTAACTCTTTGGGAACCTGCCACCCAGCTCCCAAATGAATACATAGAGACTTATTCTTACTTATGAATGTCTGGCCTCACTTGGCTTGTTTCTAGCCAGCTTTTGTTAACTTAAATAACCCATTTCTAATCTTTTATGTTTTGTCTCTGGACTTTTTCCTTTCTCTATTCTATATATCTTTCTTTACTTCTTACTCCGTGGCTGGCTGTGTGGCTAGGTGGCTGGCCCCTGGCATCCTCTTCTCCTTTTCCTTTTTTCACTACTTCCCCTTCTCCTCTCTTTTCCTATTTATTCTCTCTGCCTGGAAGCCCCACCTGTCCCTCTCCTGCCTTATGATTGGCCATTCAGTTCTTTATTAGCCCAATCAGGTGCTTTAGATAGGCAAAGTAACACAGCTTCACAGAGTTAAACAAACACAACATAAAAAAAGGCAGCACATCTTTGTCTCATTAAATAAATATTTCACAGCATAAACAAGTGTAACACACCTTAAACCAATAAATCACAATGGGAATGGTGTCACCCACAATGGACTGGGCCTTTGCACATCAATGAATATCATTAACAATCCCCCACAGACGTGCTCAGTAAACTCTCTGGGTATATAGGATAATGTTCAGGGGCAGTGCTGTTTTGGAGCAGGTCATGTGGTAGTGGAAGCTGGGAACTGATGCCAGGTGTAGGCTCCCCAGATACCAACCCCCTAAAAAAATTTCCCCAAAACTCTGGAGATGGTCTGTTCCCATTCGTGCCCAAAGTCTGCAGTGATACTGAGCTTACAGGTGGGGATCAACCAGAACACACTGAACTTAGTTCTACAAGAACCTTCAATACTGTCTGTGTTGCTGTGGGAGCTCCTGCAGTCAATAGCTTTTAAGATACCAACCCACTTGGGTGTGGTCTCTTAAACTATAAATGCAGTTGTAAAGCATTCTCTCTCTCTCTCTCTCTCTCTCTCTCTCTCTCTCTCTCTCGATTCTGGCTTTTGCTCCAGCTGCTAGATTTGGTTCCTGTTCCCCATTCACACAGAGGATTGTGATCTGTGAGTCTACCCCTAAATAAATAACCTTTTATTATATGTAATTCTGAACTAGTGTGGGATTATTTTATAACTCTCAGCATCATCTGTCACCCGAATGTGGGGACCAGTCCACACTTTTTGGGATCGGTTTGCCAGTCGCATGGCACACTGGGCCCTTACTTTCCTGCTCCTGGCTCTAGCTGGCACTCAGATGTAGCAGGCTGCTGCTCAGCATTCCCTGGCTTGTGGCCTGCACAATGCTGCTTGTGATCTCTGCGGTGCATGCAGTCCATAACTTGCACTGACAGAAAACTTTGAGTTTTCTCTTTATTTTGGGCCTCAACTCTTGGAATCATTTGATCATCTTAATAACTGCTCTTAATTTTTTAAACAAAGCATATTTTTCAGTACCTAAGTGAGCAACATGTGCTGTTCACTGCTGCTAGCTTCTCTCAGCCACATGGTTGCAACTACGACACCTGCTGGATGATAACGATTACTGTACTTATTCCAATTCATTGTAATTGCCTTACAACAGGTAAGATCTGAAAAACTACAAAAATGACTACTAACATAAATATTCAGGAGTTCAATAATTATTTAACTTATACTATGGATGATATTCTACAAGACTTATGTGATTTTCCTTCTACATCCCTTTATTTGATTCTAGGAATTAGTTTTAATTTTCATATTATCTCATTAAAATGATTTGACAACAGGGCCAAGAATGAGGCACTTTTAGAAATAATACAGTCTTTACAGACTAATAATGGACAGCTAGTTGAGAAGATCATTACTATGGAGAGGGATAGCATCAATTTAACAAAATTATCTGAAATAATTTGTGCTGTATGCACACAACCAAAATTATGTCCAAGGATGAGATATTATCTTTACTGGACAAGTTTCATACCTTGTAATCCTTAGTGAGGGCATTAGAATAGAACACTGGACTGGAGATTCAGATTTTACAGAAGACAGTAGTAAAAAGAATTGAAAATATTGAGGAATTTATTGAAATTGATGAGCAGGGACAGAAGGTACAAGGACAGGATTTAGTCTCATCAGTACATGCCAGATGCTGGGATGACTTACACAGAGTTTTAACTGCATATCTGGTAATTTCCTCGAAAAGATCATCTGGCACAAAGCACCCTAAAGTGGTCAAAGAATATGCATGGGAACCAATATGTATGAGTGATCTAAAAGAAATTAAACTAGCAATAGTTTCTTATGGGCTACATTTACCTTTCATCAAGGAAATGGTGAAAATGTGGGCTTCAAGTAATAAGGCTACCCAACACAATTGGCTTCAATTAATCTCTGTGGTCCTAGAAGATGGACCTCAACAGCTTTGGAAATGTTATTTGAGAGAAGAGGCAAAATTTTAGAATAACAAAGGAAGGCAAAAGGATTTGAGACTTCCTTCCCACAATCAAATATTTGGCAGGGGTCATTACTCTGATCTTCAGGAACAGGCTCACTATCATGAACACACCTTGTCCCTATGTAGCACAGCAGCTTTAAATGCTTGGGGCAGAATTCAGGAACTAAGAAAGAGAGTTGAATCATATATTAGGGTTAAACAGGGCCAGAGAGAATCTTTTAGTGGCTTCTTACATACATAGATTAACTAAGACTGTACAAGTAGGAATGACAGACCCTGAAGTTAGACATGTACTTATTGAATCTTTGGCTTTTGAAAATTCCACCTTAGACTGTAAGAAGATCCTTGGGCCTTTAAATGTCAAATCAGCACCCATAGATGAATGGATCTTGCTTACAATGAATGTTGAAACATTTGACTATAGTACTAAGACTTGGGAAGGACAAGTGATTTCCAATGATGTGAAGAGTCACCAAAATGCCAAATGTTTTAATTGTGGTAAAATAGGACATCTAAGAAGAAACTGTAGTCAAGGAATTTCTAGGAATAATATCTCCTCTAGGAATGGCAAGAATAGGAGGACTCAGCCTTCTTTATATGTAGGAGGTGTGGCAAAGGCCAATATTGGACCAATGAATGTAGGTTGACAGGAGACAGACAAGGCAACCCAATATCATCAGGAAATTCTCTGGGTGGCCTCTTTCAGGCTCCCATGTCAAACAAGGTTTAGTCATTCCTGGTCACTGTAGAGAACATGTCTCACCAGCAAAATGAAACAATCTCCAGTGCCTGTTGTCAAAAACCATACTGTTCTGGATGATAGAACAGAGATGGAGAATGAATCAAAAACTCCAGTAGGAAATAGGAAACATATATTTTGGCAGATTTCTATAAATGATCAAAGATCAAAACTAAGAGTGTGCATAAATGACATTGTAATTGAGGGATTATTAGACGTGGGTGTGGACGTGGGTACTATCCCACGTCTATCATTACTCCAGAATCTTGGCATCCAGATTGGCTTCTTTAAGAGGAAGATATTCAGTTCCTAGAAATTGGAACCCTATCTCAAGTTAAACACAGCATGAGGTGGGTTGAATGCATAGGACTAGAAGAAAAGCAAGGAAGACTGAGGCCATATGTAGCTAATATTGCAGTGAATTTGTGGGGTCGTGACCTATTGCAGCAATGGAATACCCAGATTAACATTCCTGCAGTTATTTTCCTGAGAAAAATATTATAAGATATTATAAACAAAGGTCACCAGCCATTCAGGCTGTACAGGGACACAAAGAAACTAGCAAACCTCCAGAGGTACTAATGACCTTGCCTTTAAAATGACTAACTGAGAAAGCCATATGGGTTAAACAATGGCTTTCAACAGAAGACAAACTACAGGCCTTAGAACAGCTGGTACAGGAGCAACTGGACGCTTGCCATATTGGAGAATCTACCAGCTCTTGGAATTCTCCTGTATTTGTTGTTAAAAAGAAATCTGGAAAATGGAGAATGGTGACAGATCAAAGAGCTATCAACAAGGTGCACTCTATAGTCTGGAATTCTTCTGCCTTCTCTATTACCAGAAGGATGGCCTCTTATAATTATTGATTTAAAAGATTGTTTTTCACTATACTTTTACAAGAAAAGGACAGAAAAAATTTGCTTTCACAGAGCCTACTTATAATAATTTTCAGGCTACTAGGAGATACCAGTGGACGGTCCTCCCACAGGGAATACTCAATAGACCCACCTGTGCCAAAACTTTGTAAATTAGTCATTAGAAATAATACACAAGCAATTTCCTAAGTCTATAGTTTACCATTACATGGATGACATTTTGTTATTTGACTCAAATGCAAATACTTTAGAAAAAAATGTTTAAAGAAATTAAGAAAGTTTTGCCTAAATGGAGATTACAAATTGTTCCTGAAAAAAAAATACAGAGAACAGATTCTGTCATTTAGCTAGGTTATTCTGTAAAATAGGTTTACAGAAAATTAGAACACAAAAGGCACAAATTAAGAGAGACCGATTGTGGACTCTTAATGACTTTCAATGATTGTTAGGAGACATTTTCAGTCTATGATCAGCTGTTGGGGTAACACCTGATCTAATAGTTCATTTAAACAAAACCTTAGATGGTGACAAAGACTTAAACAGTCCCAGAGAATTAAGAGTTAAAGCTGAAAAGGAATTGATTGTCATTGAAGAACAATTACAGGAGGTACATGTTGATAGAGTGAATCCAAATCTTAATTGTATTCTAGTCATATTGCCTTCCAGAATATCCTCTACAGGAATTTTAATGGAGAGGGAAGATATTATCTTAGAATGGATCTTTTTTTCCCCCCACATAAACCAAGTAAAAAATTAAAACTTGCCAGTTGTGGTGGTGCACACTGGTAGGATTTGCTCTAGGAGACAGAGGCAGGAGGATCATGAGTTTGAGAACAGCCTGGGATACACATTTTTTTAAAAAAAGTGTTCACTTCAGCAGCACATATACTAGAATTGGAACCATACAGAGAAGATTAGCATGGCCCATGCACAAGAAAAAAAATAAAAACTTATGTGGAAAAAGTTTCTGAATTAATTATAAAAGGAAAATGAAGACTTTGTCAACTAGCAGGTATAGACCCAGCAGAGATTATAGTGCCTTTTACTACTGATGAAATTAAAAAATTATGGTAAGACAGTGAACCACGGCAAAGAGCTAGTGCTAATTTTTTTTGGGTAGAAATTAATAGCAATTATCCCAAAAATGATAGGATTAACCTTATAAAGAGAACTACTTGGATTCCTTCCTGAATTGTATGTGATGCACCAATAACTGGAGCCTGTACATTTTTTTACTGATGCAAATAAATCAGGAAAGTCAGGTTATAAATCAGAAGAATTAAGTAAGGTGGAACAAAGCCCCTATAATTCTGTCCAAAAGGCAGAGTTATATGCTATTCTCATGGTTCTAAGGGATTTTAAAGAACCTCTCAATATAGTTACCGATTCACAAAATCCAGAAAGAGTTGTCATGCATATTAAACCCACTGATTTTATATCAGATGATACAGAATTGACTTCATTATTCATTCAGATTCAAGACATAATCAGGGATAGATTTTGTCCCATATACATAATACACATCCGATCCCATACGAGTCTGCCAGGTCCTCTAGCTCAAGGCAATGCAGAAATTGACTGATTGGAAAAGTGTTAAAGGCCTCAGAATTTCATAAAAAACATCATGTCAATAGCAAAGGTTTAAAGAAAGAGTTTTCTATTACATGACAACAAGCTAAGGAGATTATAAAGAGATGTCCCCTCCACTTGCTCTTTCTATAACCAAATACTATTACCTGCAAGTAACCCAAAGGGTACTCAAAGGAATGAGATCTGGCAGATAGATGTGTTCCACTTCACAGAATTTGGAAGATTAAAATATGTACACTACACCATTGACACTTACTCAGGTTTTAAATGGGCAACTGCCTTGAGCTCAGAAAAGGCTAATTCAGCAATCACACATTTATTAGAAGTAATAGCCATCAGCTGGGCGGTGGTGGTGCATGCCTTTAATTCCAGCACTGGGGAGGCAGAGGCAGGTGGATCTCTGTGAGTTTGAGGTCAGCTTGGTCTATAAGAGCTATTTCCAGGGCAGGCTCCAAAGCTACAGTGTAGAAAGGAGCGGTGGGCTGCATTCCCACCTGACTCATGCATGATTAGTTTTACACCTGAAATAACAACACACAAATTGTATTCTTTTAAACACTGCTTGGCCCATTAGTTCCAGCCTCTTATTGGCTAACTCTCACATCTTGATTGACCCATTTCTATTAATGTGTGTAGCATCACGAGGTGGTGGCTTACCAGGAAGGATCTTAACCTGCGTCCATCTTGGAGAGGAGAGCTATAGTGTCTGCTTCACTGCCTTCTTCCTCCCAGCATTCTGTTCTGACTTTCCCACCTACCTAAATTCTGACCTATCAGGCCAAGCAGTTTTCTTTATTAATTAACCAATGAGAGTAACACATAGACTGATGACCCTCCTCCATCACTACAGAGAAACCTTTTCTAGAAAAAAAACAAAAAAAGAAGTTATACCCATCATGGGTATACCTGCACAAATAAAGACAGATATTCTATTTTGTGGACGGGCTTTGTGGGAGCCTTGTCTGTTTGGATGCTCACCTTCCTGGACCTGGAGGGAGCGGAGAGAACCTTGGACTTCCCAGAGGGTAGGGAATCCTGACTGTTCTTTGGCCTGGAGAAGGAGGGGGAGGGAGGGTGGGGGGAGGAGAGGAGGTGGAAACTTTTAATAAAAAAATAAAAATAAAAAAACCAAAGATATTACAGGTATACCAAACAATCCTACAGGTCAGGCAGTTATAGAAAGATCAAATCAGACAATAAAGGATATGCTAAACAAGCAGAAAGGGATGGAAAATACCCCAGAAATAGATTGCATAATGATTTATTAACCTTGAATTTTCTTAACGCTAATGAGAAAGGAACAACAGCAGCAGAGAGATGTTGAATAATGAGAAAACTTCTGAATTAAATAAGCCGGTGTATTTCAAGGATGTGCTAACCTCACAATGGAAACTAGGAGATGTGTTATGTTGGGAAAGGGGTTTTATTCTTCTTTCCACAGGAGAAGAAAAACTATGATACCATCAAAATTAATAAAGATTCAGTTTGAGAAAGAGAAACCTCTTGAGAAAGAGAAATGACAACTCATCTACATTGGTGACAATCATATAGGTAGTAAGAAAACCTCATAAGGGTTGGGGCAGGGTTGTTCTTATCTTTGCAGGAAAACACTCATCTTCAAAGAGTCAAGAGATCTTGGCCATCTAAATGCCTAAAGATGAAGAGATAACTATCCAGAAAGAATCAACAAGCAAAGAGAAATCTGACCTATGATACCATGTCATCTGCATGGCAAAATTTAGTTATTTGGACATGTATACATCTCTACTTAAAAGTCAGAGCTGGCTTTAGAGTTGCACAATGGCTATCCTTCTCTGAATCGAAGCATGTTGTTAAAAGAAAATTTCAGAGTTTATCTCTCATGTCAGGAGCCATCTGGTATGGGACAGGAAGAAGATAGATTTTAAGGAAATATTTTACTTTTCTCCATGCCCATTTTGTTTATATTGTATCTTTCATTGAACATATGTCTATATGAATAATGTTTACGTTTTCAACAATGAACAGTAGATTTTCCTGCAGTTATCTTTGAAGCTTCTAGGAAGAAGATGGGGCCTCACAGCAATGACTCCACCTGGTTGGTATGAGGTTGTGATGCTGCTAATGTTGTTATGAGACTGGTTTTTGGGTACCAGTTGCGGAAATGGTGTACCTTCTTACAGTGTTCTGGCCAGAACTCCAAATAAGAACTTCAATCAAATAAACAAACAAACAACCCCCCCAAACCCTACCAACTACTTAGAGACCATTTATAATTATACAAAACAGCAAACTTTAAACTTATCCATCATTTTACTTTTACAGGATCCCATAGAAAGAACATTGCCCACAATTTGATGGCTGGAAGCAATTCTAGAAGATGATGTCCTTTCTTCCAACAAAGTTTTTCTTCACGGTTAGGGACACCATTTAGGGGTTGATTATTACTCATATAGGGTTGGTGGTTGGGTGGAAATTATGTAGGCCCAGAGATCTCAAAAAAAATAAGAGGGAAAACTGAGTAAGATAATAGGTAGATTAGTGTGAACTTACACTAAAAATAATAATAGTGAGTAATAGAGTGAATACTTGTGAGCTATTATTTATGGACAATTTACATTGTTATATATTTTTGTATATTGATACAAGTTCCAAATTATATTTATTATATTGAATATGCTCCTATTTCTGTTTACAATATTTGTACACCTATGCAAATTTATTTTGTCAAATTGTATGCATGCATGTTTCTACCTCTGTTTAAGATATTTTGTATATTGATGCAATTTTAGAATATATTTCTCATATTGCATTATATATTTTTACCTCTGATCAAGATATTTACACATTGTTTATACCTCCTTTACTGAACAGTTGTTTAAAGATTGTTTAATATTCTGATATGAAATATTAATCTTTAAGTTATATAAGTATTAAATATTATAGGTCAATAGTCATTAATATTTGTTACACTTATATTCAGACTAATTAGTTTCTATAGATACATAAAGATTGTATTCTGCATAGATAGGTAGCCTTCAACCACTTCAAAGAACTGTAAAATATGACTTTTAAATAACTTAGGATTCTGTTGACATGACACATAATTGCTCCTGGCAGCACCGATCTATTTCTGAGAAAGTGTTGAATACCACAGACACTCTACTTGGAGTTTGTTTTATTCTTGGCACAACTGGCCTTTGTGCAAGGAACTGCCCATGTCTCAACCACTGACAAAATACACAATGTCCAGACTGGACAAGCAGGATACAAGAAAAAAGACTGCCAAACCTTGCCAAGACAGGATAAGATGGCTCTGAAAAATTTCCTGCCTCTGTCAGTTACTCTAGGCCTTAACTAAAGTTGGTTGCTTCAACATTGCAAATGAAACTTTGGGTGATTGCTCAGGCAGCCAGTTGTCTCTGTCATCTATTGCTTTTTTGGGAAGGTGCTTGATTGCATTTCCTGCCTACTCAAGTAATATCATCTCCCTTCTCAGACCTTCAATGGCATTGAAGATTAGATAGTCATAGTTACCATCATCTTATGATCGAGCCAAGCCATTTCCAATACAAGACTTATACTCCTTAGGATAGAATGTTTATCAAAACATTAGTATATGTTCCTTGCTTAATATTGTTTATGCTGATTGTAATTCTAACTTTATATTTGATATCTGCTCCTAGTGTACAAAAAGGGGAGGGTCTGTGGAAGCTTCTGCAGCCAATAGCCTTTAAGATACCAGCCCACTTTGGTGTGGTCTCTTAGACTATAAATGTAGCTGTAAAGCCTGCGCTCACTCTTTCTTGCTTCCTGCTCTCACTTCGAGCTGCTAGGTTTGGTTCCTGTTCCCTGTTCATACAGAGGACTGTGATCTAGAACTGGGATCTATGAGTCTACTCCTAAGTAAACAACCCTTTATTATATGTAATTCTGAACTAGTGTGGGATTATCTTTATAACTTTCAGCATCACTGTGTGGCCACAAAATGGGAGCAGCATCCAGGCTCTGTTGGGGAGCAGTAGTTTGCAGAGATAGACGGACATGCACCTAGGAATAGAAAAGCCACAGGACCTGTATGAGGCTGCAGCAGGAATGGGGAATGCCACCTTGAGAGAGTAGGTGTCAGGAAGGATTTCCTGGAAAAACAAGCATCTGTCCCGCGCTACCGTCTCGCCAGCAAGAACGACGCGGCACACTTAGGATCCTTCTGCAGAAAAGCTTTAATGCGTCTTGAGAGAGAGAGCATAAGCTTCCAAAACGGAGACCCAGAATGAGGGAACCCATCCCTTATATAGGAAACAGTCCTCGCTTCGGTTGTGTCACTCTTGGATTGGTCCACTGCCCATCAACCCAGATGACGCCTCGGGATCAACCCAGATGACGCCTTGGGAGTAGGC